GAAGAAACGGGTGTACAGTAATATTTATCACCCAATCAAATGCGCCCAACTGTGCATTTCGCATGGTCGCCTAGTTTCGGGATACATTGATTTTTTGTGACGCGAGATTGACATTTTTTTTCGACGCGACTCGGGAAAACGTGGATTGAGACATAAATGTCCACACTGGAATGTACCCTAATATCATGTCATGTCAGAATCCCAGCCATGAACTAGTGGGATAAAAGGGCTTGTTTATATAGCGGGTGAGTGCGCCCATAACCCCCCAGGCCGACGTGCCTGTAACCCTTCCCTAGGATCATCGGGGATCTCCAGTGGACCTCTGACAGTGCGGGCTGCAGGGCGCACGCAGAGCGCAGGGCAGCAGAGGAGCGTGGGGCGCGGGCAGCGCAGACACGCGGGCCAGGGCAACGCGGGCAGGTCTGTGCGCAGGCTGCAGGGCGCGCGGGGCACGGGCAGCAAAGCGCACGCGTGCAGGTCGCGGGCAGCGTGGGCAGCTGCGCTCTCAGGTAGCGCCTAGGGCAGCGCGCAAGCTAGGGCAGGAGCGAACGCGTGGGGCATGGCGGCTCTAGCGGGCTGCCGGGTCGCGCTCGTAGGGCAGGGCAGAAAAACGGGCAGGGTAGAATGAACGGTGGGCCCGTCCTTAGGACCTACGCGCTCTAAAACCATGTCAGGATACTAGTACGGTAGTAAGCAGGAAAGAATACGGTAAACTACGAGAATGTTGGGTACAGGTACTAGCATAATGGTACCAGTACACACAAACATACAGTCTTGAAATAGCACACGTACAAGATGTAGCAAATAATGTGGCAAAGAGAGGTACGCCTTGGAGACATGATACCATTCTTGAACAAGATAGATAAGGCTACACAAGGAGAAGACCGACTAAGTCACAAAACAACACATGAGTACAATAGAGGCTGGTCCTCTGGCGGCTAAAACAACTTGCCCGGACGAGCTGGCCATAGTAAGGGGACCAAGAACAAATGCAAACGAGCAGTTCGCATCTCATGCACGTTACTACTGCTGAACCTCCCCTGAGGTTGAAGCCGTGTGTGACGGTATTCGTAGTACAAAAATCGTACAGCCGCTGGAGACCCGCGGAAACCCCTTCTGGGCGTTTATTGGTCAGACGAACACGTATAGGCTGAGCAGCTCTTTGGCATGCGGAGAGACGTCAGGCCGTGTAGCAGCGGCGGCAGCGGCAGCAGTAAGCAGTGGCCTAATAGTGAAGGAAGAGCCGATCCGCGACACGAAAATCCCGTTGTCGCTCAAGCAGGCGCGCCAATTATTGATGTGACAGATCACCTGGAGGCGGAGAAATACCGCGACCTTATTACACCCCCGGGGCAGCCGACCAAACGGCCTTGACGAGCTTCCCACGAAGCTTTCACAGGCAGAGCAGAGAATCGTACAATACAACACGCACGCGGCGAAGCGCTCGAGAGAAATCTTCCGCGCAGAGCGACTAAACGGCGGCGGAGGCTTTACTCCTGAGAGAAGTAAGAGGTCTGAACAGTCATTAAGTGCATCTCGAATTCTTCCTCTGAAGGGAGCGGCTCGAAAGAATCGGCGGAATCGGCGAAGGCGGAAGCGGCGGGTGAAGTAGGGGAGTCGCACTCCGAAGCGGGCCACGACGTGCTGAATTCGTGCACGGCGCGCGGGGAGTTCCGCAACGGCGAGCTTCCACCGTCGATGGAGTTTCCGCGTTTGTGTGCGGAGACCGGCGCGAGATTGTGCGTCGGTAGGCGGAAATCGGGATTGGCGGAGGCGGCTGTGCAATTGGCGTTTGCGAGGAGAGCGTTGAGAGCCTGCAGTTGTTGCTGCTGGTGCACGCGGAGCGCCGCAGCATCGAGGCTTGCGTTGACAGCGACCTTGTTGTTCAGGTTAGCGAGCGCGATAGCTTGCAAGTACTGCTGCATATTCTGCTGCCTCTGCTGCTGAAGTAGAAGGAGAAGCATTTGTCGCTGCTGCTGCTCCCAGAGGGCTGAACCGGAACCTGAACCTACTTGCACGTTTCCTGACCCGAGAACGCCTGCAGCCGCGGCGGCTAGTTGTGAGCGACGAATTTGCTCAAGAAGCAGCGCGTTAGCCGCGACAGTGGTGTTCTGGTTAGCTGCGTTTTTCAGTGCTTGCTGCTGCTGCTGCTGGGCCAGAAGCAGCCTTTGAAGGATGGCGGCATTGGAGTTAGCGGCGGCGGCGGAGGCAGTGGTGTAGTCTTCCATGGGTGCGGTAGGAGTTTGAAGGAGCGAAAAACTGCGGTTGAGTAAGAAACCCTAGACGGAGGAACAACGAAGACTGAGCTACGAAGAAAACTGGGTTGGAGTGCGGCAGTTATAGGGAGGGCGGTTGGGATGTTGGTCTGCGGGCTTGGGACGAGAGGCTTGTTTGCTTGCAACCGGATTGTGCGGAGCCAATTTGGTTTGGATAATTGTCTGGATGGTTTGGAAATGGAAACCCATCGCCCTATTTAGAGGTGATCGCCTCGAAAGTCGGTCTGGGCCCGTTTACCGTGTGGGTTGAAAGAACAGCGAAACGAGTCGCACACGCGAGTGGAGCTTCGCACCCGTGTGGAGGGGTAGCCCAGCTGGCGACGTGATGCGACGCGGGGAAACTTGTTGCGTACACTACAGAGCTCGCGAAGATTGGTGCGGCATGGTGATTGGCTGATGATGTCACGGACCGAGCTAGGATTGGCCGTCCGACGTAGAGGTTTCTCGCTGAAAGCACCCGAGTCGCTTCACGGGTGAGGTTTGAGGAAGCTCCCGCTTGGTTCACTTACAGGGGCCAAGGTTTTCGCGCATCACGACAAAACTATAATCTCGCAACCTGCCAGACCGCATACCGAAAGGCCCATGAGGCGAGTCGCATGAACTCCGTGAAACGAAGTTCGTCAATTCAGAGTATGGATATTTTTTTGGGTGACCGCATTCTCACACGAATCTGTATTCAGCACGTCGAGTTTCTCTAAAACCCGAACTGATGGAGTTTTGATTGTCAATCAATAAACTTTTTGATTGTCTCAGAACCATACTGATACACCTGCCACACTCCGCAAGCAGCTATCCCTAAATATGGACACAACTGGTTCCATGTGGAAGTGCACCACACACCGCTGGCTACTCCCACTGCCAGTGAACCAGCGGTGACTCGATGACGCGGCACCGAAGCCCCGTGCAATAGGGCTGCCAGCTCGGGCGCTTGCTACGTCACAGGCGCTCTCCGCCGCCTTGTTTCCGTCTGTGCTGCGGTGTCACGGATAGCCAGGGTGCGGTTGGGAAAGCACTGCCCCCACACTATCCCCGAATTGTTGGCAACCAGTGATCGTTGCCCATGTGCATAAGAAACAACCGTAAGGATGTTTAGAAAAAATCCGCTGGGCGAAAACCGAGTGTCGTCAAATTCCAATCACACTACGTCGATCGCTTACGAATTTGTACCAAGATGCATATGGCAATGGCGGGCTATATGGAGTTCATTGATGGTATTAGCTAAGAGATTAATGACCTGTAAGTGTTACATAAACTCAGGGGGCCATCATGGTAAGCCCTACCAGAGCGAAGAAGAACGTGGGGCAGTGCCGTGTCAGCCTAGGCCTCAAAAGCTGTCAGCCACGCCAGCAGGCTCGACAGGTTTCTCCACCTGCTTCAACCAAGGCAAATTCTACCCTTCGAGTCCCCATGGGTCCTGCACCTGGCCTGAGTTAGATGTGACCCCACACTGGCACTAGCAGATCCTACCAAACCTCCGAACCTGAAATCCCAACCAGTAGGCTCCCACAGCTGTCAGTGTTCAGGTTTCGATAGCCAAACTTTTTGTGACCTGTCCATTCAGCATGTGGCAGCATGTGGGGGAACTGGGCAACGGGACATGTTCCGGGGTGTCTCCATGTTCTATCACCCCAGTACACCCTCATTCTCAGTCTACGCACAATCGGGAGCAGCGACAACAGTGTTGTCAGGTAGCGTCTCTGTGCTTGTGGCCGAACCCCCTAATGTTGCCAGGCACACCATGCACCAAGCGCCAAAACAGTAACATTCGAAACGACTTGTTCACTTTGTCCTACACTGTGGCCAAAGATTCCACATCAAAACACACAAGAAACAGACAATTCCTAACACAGGTTCAAAACACATACAGAATATCTACGTTCGGTAGAAAGGGGTAACGTATGGTAGAGCGAAAAGCAACGGCAGCCAACCACACATGTGAGCGCACTGTACACTTCCTGCCAGTCAAAGTCAACAGCTGCATTACCAACGTGGCAGTCGTGATTGTGCTTGTAGAGTATGTGCATGCACCATTCTAGGCACGTTGCAGTCACTACAAGCGTTCGGTGCATGTGGCGATTGTGCACAGACTGAGAATGAGGGTGTACCCCTGTAAATCTTCGATTAGGCGCCGCTATACGCATGTCTCGTTTCTGGAATAAGTCGGACTGAAGCAGTGCACACGTATATGGTGTTTGCGAGCATAAATATTCAAGCTTCAAGCATCTGCAGGAAGTAACACTAGAGAGTATCATGTCGAGATGCGAGAAGCTGTTGATCATCGATGTCAATGATCTCAAATGACCCCCTTGCTCCAGCAGCGCCATGCCATCCAATTGCCGTGGCACAACAAACTAGTCAGAAAATGTTTTGCAGGTAGCTGGGGTGAGTAGTAGCAGTAATGCTTATACAAGTACATTTTACAGTGCCTGTATCCCCAGCACCAGCGTAGCAAGAGCGAATATGAAGTGGGAAAAACGTGCAAGCAGATAACATTTTCGGTAGTGGAGAGAGAGCAGGGTCCCAGATAATAAGCCCTGCTCTAAGGTGAACCCTGAGTAGAACAAAAAACCGAACCCATTGACGTTTCTAACCGTTCACACTACACCTGGCCTGGCGTAAAACGCCTTCAGATTCAAGCAATAGAACCTGACGATCAGAGCGCAAATGATTTCAATTCTATTTTTGCCCTCGCAACTACCCCCTCACAGTCCGTACTTGGCGTCCCTACCATCCATAACCACCTGATCCACCAGCGCCGCCATATCCACCACCTCCTCCGCCACCACCACCTCCACCACCATAACCGCCGCCGCCAGGAGCCCCTGGACGGCCGCCATAGCCGCCACCGCCACCATAACCGCCGCCACCATCGCCTCCACTAGGGCACTCACGCGCGAAATGGCCCCGCTCGCCGCACTTAAAGCAACCGCCACCTCCCCCAGCGCCGCCGCCCCCACCCCGGGTCTGGTATCCCCCTCCGCCACCACCCCATCCGCCACCGCCGCCACCGCCACCGGAGTTCCACCCACCACCACCACCGCCATAACGGCCGCCACCGCCGCCGCCGGATCCTCTGGGTTGCGCCATGTTGACAGTGATGGTGCGACCATCGAGACTTTGCCCGTTCATAGCCTCAATAGCTTGATCCATGCCGGGCTTCTCGTTGAAAGACACAAAGCCGAATCCTCTTGATCGCCCAGTTTCTCTGTCGTTGACAATCTGCGAAACGCAAAGATAGAAGCATACTATTAGCTGTGCAGGCAAGAATGCTGTAACGACAAATTTTCGTGTTTAACATCCAAATAGTCAGCAGGATTGAATACTTGAATTGTTTTACAGCGACGTGATTCCACAACAATTGTGCACACAACTCGTCCTTCATACAGAATAGGCATGAGAGCTGGAAAACAAGCGTCAAGCTGTGCAAGGTGGAGGAATACGTAGCGAAAAATAACGGAATGTGGCTTACCTTAGCGTCAACGGCGCCATACTGGCTGAAGGCTTCCATGAGCCCTCTGTCGTCCGTATTGTACGATAGTCCTCCCACAAAGCACCGCAATTCTTCCGTAGTAGCCATGATGAATACTGGCGGCAACGCGACCCACACACACAAGGGAGAGGCGGCAAGGCGACCCACGCACACAAGGGAGAGACGAACAGAGGATATCCCTTGCCGAACAGAAAGGAGGCTTGCGTAAGTACAAAATTGCTCGCACAGAAATGTAAACAAGTAGATCTAGGCGCGAAGATTTTTATACGTAAAATTTCGATTCATCGAGTCGATTGGGCAAGATAGGAAGATCGGAGAGCCGGAAGGGTTTGGGTTTGAGAGGGGAGGTCCAAAGGCAAATGCGGATGAGATTTGAATGGTTCTGCGCGAACTGGGGGGTGAAATGCGAGGCGCGGAGCGGAGAGCTAATGGCTTGCGTCCATACCATACAGGGTGCGGGGCGCGGAACACAAATCGTGAGGAGGAGATTGGAAATATCTATGGGGACTCGATAGACGTGGCAGGCAATGGTTGGGCGAAGACTACATAAAACTAAAACGGATGTTTTCCAGAGACAGGTGTGCATGGTAGCTCAATTTTGCCACATAGGCACGAAAATTTTGTAGAAGGGCGGAAACCCTCACCTATCTTTGCCCGCCGATGAAGGATGTGTTATTGGACGCCACACAACTTCGAGGCACCGTCAAGCCAACAGAACATTCCGTAAAATGCGGAACCAAACTGACCTAACCCTTGTTGATGTTGTAGTTTGATGACAAACTCGCACTTTTTAGAAAGCACCACATTATTTTGAGAGACACTCTTCTGCAGCCCGAAACGGAAGGGGAAAAAAACATATTGCCCTGCGTATGAAGTTACTCGCTTGAAGCTTCACGATTGAACTGTAGAGAAACCAGCAGACTGATAGATATTTCAACTTTGACCACAATACACGTCAGCAATTGCTCACCAGCTCATGCAACCCGGTGCGCACTTCCGCATGACTTTTTCCCTAGCCGCCATGCACCCACCCATCCATCAGAAGCGGAATTTTCCACCTCCCCCTCCCTCCCGCGCATCCGACCCCCTGCTGATTGTCCCCGCACACTCCCACAACTTCGCATATTCCCATCCCACTGCGGTTTTGTATTCTGGAACCCCGCTTGCCGCTGCTGCTCCTTCCATCAGCGCGCTGCAGCATCCCATCCCAAGTACACGCCGCCACCAGCACGTGAAACACCAGCCGTCTCCTCAACCTCGCTCGCGCTGCATGACAAACGGGTGCTCCCCCGGCACTTACAGGTTTATGGCTGCCACGTGTCGTCCAAAAATCGTTATTTCAAGCTGGACTGCGCGGAGTTGTTCTCGGAGCGCATTGCTAGTCGGGTGGAATCGCTCCTTGCTGAATGCCCTCTCCCTCTCGTCGCCCGCCGCGTGCGGTCTTGCGAAGCGCGCGAATCCCGCCTAGTCGAAAATGCCAGCTCTTACCCTCCCGCCTATTCGAAAATGCCAGCTCTTACCCAGGCGAGTTATGCGCCGCGCGGGGTGGCGCAACCCCCTTACCAAACCCCAACCACCCCCACCCCCTCTCCCCCCGACCATTCTCCGCCCGTGCCTCGGCGTCCGCCCCTGGCCGTCGTCGCACGTCCCTCTCTCTCGCACCACCCCCGCTCGTCGCGTTTATTCGTTTGGAGCGCGTCGCGTTCTCTCCGGCAGTCGCCTTCCCCTCGTCCGCGTTACTTCCGTTTTCAGGCCCAGAGCGCGCACAAGCACCTTCGCCTGTACTCTCGTTCCATGAACCGCTTTGAGACCTATCGAGCTGCGCTGCGGCAACGGGACGACTATTTTAGCTCGTCGCCATCATAGCCATTTTTCGCGCGATTTCTCTGCCTTTTCTTCTAAGCATGTCGCTCTTGAAGCATGGCTGAAGTCATCGTCTCTAGAACGTCAAGAACCTGCGAGCCTGGTCGTAGCGCCATCGACAATCCGTCTCGCGCCGCGGTTGACCAATCCGCGCATTTTCCCGCTGCAGAGAGGCCCGTTGGCGGTAGCGCCAGCGCGGGGGCTTCGCCGCCGCGGAAGCCGCATCCGCCCCTCCTTCCGCCGGCCTCCATGTTCCAGCAGCAGCAGGCGCCGGCGGCCGCGGAGAGAGAGCGGCGCGCAGAGGGTGCGGAGGGCGCGCAAGGGGGCCGTGCACGCCGCGGGGGAGGCGCAGTGACGGAACCGGAGCAATCCGCAGAGATGGAGGCTGCGGCGGCTGAGGGGAAGGGGCCGCTGGCAGTGTCGTCTTTGGAAGAGCGGAAGGAGATTGCGGAGGGGGAGGAGCCACATCAGAAGCCGCGTATCTCAGAGAAGGTATGGCTGTCTCTGGTAAGAGCAGAAGTGCTTGTAACGAAAAACGCGGAGACTTTTCTACGCCCTGTATCAGGCTGTGGGCGTTTTTCGCGGATGGTCCACCCTTTCTTGAGTACCTGGCGTCTAATCACTTGCACTCATATTTCTTTCCCCTTCCTCCTTCCCCCGCCCCCCCCCCCCCCCTCACCCCACCCTCCGCTTGTGTCTCCCACCCCGCATGGCAGGTCGCTCGGTTCTTTGGAGCGACAGGCAGGCCCAGGAGCCGCAGGAGCACGGGGGAGACGGAGCCGCCGAGACAGGCTGCAACAAGGGAACTTGCAAAAGAATCGGCACGAGAATTTGCAAGGGGATCTTCGAAGGAGCCTGCAAGAGAGCCTGAAAGGGAACCGGCAATAGAGGGTATAGCTGGCGGGAGCAGTCAGGGTGCAAGGGGCAGGGATTCGGAGGGGGTGGGTGAGCAGGAGCAGGCGTTGGGGGAGAGGGGCATGGGCGGAGGCCCTGCTGGAGCCACCAGTGAGGGCCGTGCTGGTTCGACTGGCGTTTCTGGCGTGGGAGCAACAGGCTCTGAAGCAAGCCGTGCTGCTGCAACGGGTGGTGCGGGTGACGTTGGTGCTGCTGGTCCTGGTGTCGCTGCTTCTGGTACTCCTGGTGCTGCTGGCGCGGGTGTTGGTGCTGGTGGTGGTGGTGGTGCGGGTGCTGGTACGGCAGGTGCCGCTGCTGCTCCAGAGCCCTCCACCACGCCTGGAGCAGCAGCTGCAGCATCAGCTATTCACCAGGCAGTGCGAGCAGGGAAGAGCGAGGAGCAGGCTGCTGCCGACGCTGCCACTGCTGCTACCTCTGCTGTTACTGGCGCTACAACAGGGAAATCTGATGCGGGAGGCCCTGCTACTACCCCCGCTACAGGCCCCGCTAGAGGCCCTGCTACTGGCCCTGCTACAACCCCTGCTACAGGCCCTGCTACAACCCGTACCCCTGGTCCTACTGCCATCTCTGCCCCTGCTGGTAGTTCCCCAGCGCCCTCCACCACGCCTGGAGCAGCAGCTGCAGCATCGGCTATTCACCAGGCCGTGCGATCAGGGAAGAGCGAGGAGCAGGCCACTGCTGACGCTGCTGCTGCTGCTGCAAAAGAGATGGCGCAGGGTGGGAAAGAAGAAGTGGAAGAGCGGGGATGGGAAGGAGGGAGGAAAGGAGGGGCAGTGAGGAAGGTGGGGCGGCAGCAGCGGCAGGGGCAAGAACACCAGAGGAGAGAGGTGTGCGGCAAGCAGGAAAATTGGGAGGGACTGAGGTGAGCTGATGAATCTGGGTCTGTGCGCTTAATGGCTAGGGTGCTTAGATAGCTGCAAGTCTCTCTTTGTAGAACGCTGTTGCTCTTTGTGTTCCTCTCTTTCGTTCCTAGTTCAATTGTTCTGACTCTACTCTGTTGTTGCGCCGCTGCAATTGCAGGTGGGTTGGGAGAGCGGGAAAGTGAAGCAGCTGGTGAGGAGCTTCAACGGACCTCCCAGACTGCTACAGCAGCAACCGCTACAGCCGCTACAGCCGACGCAGGGGCAGACACGGCTGCAGTCGTCTCCAGGCGTTCAGCAGCAGCAGCAGCAGCAGCAGGTGCAGCAGCAGCAGCAACAGCAGCACCAGCAGCAGCAGCAGCACCACCCTGCAGGAACCCCCTCGGCAGTAGCAGGCACTGCGGCGACCAGAGTAGCACGACCATCACCACCACCACCAGGAGCAGCAGCAGCACCGGGAGCGGCAGGAGCGGGAGCAGCAGTGCGAACGCCAGCAGCAGCAGCAGCTGCCTCCCCAGCGTCCCCTGGCGCAGCAACAGGAGCCGCAGGAAGGTCACTCTCCCCTGGAGCAGCAAGAGCAAAATGGGGCCAAGCATCGCCGGGAGCAACAGGAGCAGGAGGAGCAGGAGGAGCAGGAGGGTCCGTGTCGCCTGTATCCCCGGGAGCAGCAGGAAGGGCAGCGGGAGGATCGGTTTCACCAGTGTCCCCGGGAGCAACGGGCGGGCATGGGTCAGTGCTGGAGAGACTTAAGTGGCTGGAGTGGCAGGTGCACACCATGCAGGCCGCCTCAGGTGGTGCTCCTGCTGAGAGTTTCGGGAGGCTTCCTGCTGCCACGCCAGGTGGTGCTTCAGGTGTTTCAGGTGTTTCGGAGGTTGGTTCTGGGGGGAAGAGAAAGAGGGTGCTGGCTCCTGTGGCAATGGGAGGGGGAGAGGGGGAAGAGGCTCAGGGGATCACTAGGGCAGCTTTTATGGGCGAGGGGCAGGAAAAAGAGATGGGGAAAGAGGAGGTGAAAGAGGGTGGGATCTTTGGAGGGATGGTGAGTGGAGGAGAGGAGGGAGGGATGGGAGAGGAGGAAGGAGCAGCGGTGCCGCTGGTGGTGGTGGCTCGGGAGATTGAGGAGCGGGGATCCATTCTGGACCGCATTGCACACCTGGAAACCACTCTCAACGCCCTTGCTGCATCTGGGATTCCTGTCCCTGGCAAGACCGCTCCTGCCACTCTTGTCCCTTCTGCTGCTGCTACTCCTGCTGCTGCTCCTTCTGCTGCTGAAACTCCTATAAAGCCTGCTCCTGTGCTTAGAGCACCAGCTGAATCTGGTCCTGGCATATCACAAGGAGCAGGAGAATCAGCCGGCAAATCACGTGAGCTTGGATATGCCGTTCCTGCTGTTGGAGAGACAGGGCGGGAGGCTGGGGCAGAGGAAGCAGAGGCTGAAGCAGTGGCAGCGCCACCAGCAATGGCTGAAGCTGAAGAGGAAGAGGTGGAGGAGGCAGAGGAAAGGGGAGAGGAAATGGAGGGGAAAAGGCGCTTGGGCGGTGAGAAAGGGACTATGCCTGAATCTTCTGCTGCTGCCGGTGCTGGTGCTGCTACCACTGCTGCTGGTGGGGCTCCTCTGTCCGTTTATACCCCCTCTGAAACCACTGCTCCGTTTGTGGCAGCAGCAGCAGAACCAGCAGCGCCCTCTGCTGCAGTCACTGCTCCCTCTGCTGGTCCCTCCAGGCCGTCTGCTGTAGCACCTGAGGCGGCACATGAGGCGGGTGGAGCACCTGGGGCAGCACCTGAGGCGGCACCTGAGGCGGCACCTGGGGCAGCACCTGGAGCACCTGGGGAAGTTGCTGAGAAGGGTTTGGCAGCACATGCTGCAGAGGCATCTTTTGCCAGGGCCCCTGAAGGGGAGAGAGCAGAGGAGACTGCAGAGGTGGCGGCTGCTGCTGCTGGTGGAGCAGTGCGAGCAGTGCAAGGGGTTGGGGCTGGTGAAGAGGGTGGTGAGCAGGGCGGTGCGGAGGGGATGAAGCCTACAATTGAGCAAACTCCTGCAGCTGCGAAGGTATTTTTTCCTATTTCGATGACGGTTAATGGAAACATTGCGTAAGTCTGCTTGTGCCTTTTCTTTCTTCTTTTGGCCTTCCTGTATTTAACAGTTGTGCTGTCACATTATCTCGGTGCATTTTGCCTTGGCTGGCTTGATCAGGTGTCAGAGGAAGGGGAAGCGGAAGCAGGGAAGAAGCCTCGGCGCCGCTATCGCCGCAAGAAGCGGGCTGACAGGGCGGAAGGGAAGAACAGGTGCAAGATTATGTGAAGGGAAGAGGAGGGGAAGAGAGAGGGGGGGGGGGGGGGGGGGGGGGGGGGGGGGGGGGGGGTGGTTCTTTCGGGTGGTAGGAGGGGTGGGGGGGATGTGGATGAGGGAGTAGATTAGGTTAGGCGGCTTTGCGATTACTTTGCAAGTTTAGATATCTAGGTGTACCACTTGTAACTTTCTTACCTTGCGTCTAGGTGGATTCCATTCCACTAACGTAATGATGGCATGCACTAGTGAACTAATGTTTTTGCTGCGCCAAAGGTAGCTAGCATTCGAAAGATGTTATGGAAAGATTTTTTTCTACTCCATTTTGTTGGCATATGGGATTACTGGTATGTTTCAGCAACTGATACCTGTCACCTAATCTACTCCCATATGAAGTCTGCTTGTACCGCGTGAGGTCTCGAGGCGTACATATCCAAGACAGAAGGGCGTCGCATCGAGCTGGACTGAGCGATACAAACGCGTGGCGCGATTACACACGGGAACAGCACCGCTCATGCTTCAACCATGCTCCGATCGCTGAAGCTCGCTCCTCACGTCGCACGTGCCGCTATTCGGCCCGTCTATCCCGCATGCGCGCGCTCGTCCGCGTTAAAAGCCGCCGCGATATCCGGTAGAAGCTATTCGTCGGCGGAAGCCGACAGCGAGTATTGGAAGCACATGTCCAACGCGGTTCCGCGCGGACCGGGATCGGCGGAGAGCGCGGCGGCGGAGATCATCGAGCGCAACCTCGTGCGCGGACCCCCCGCGGAGGAGCGCAGCCCCGCCGCCGTGCTGACGTCACGGCGGGAAGCGCTGGATCTGTAAGTAGTAGCTGGCGAGAGAGGGGGAGGAGGAGGAGAGGGGGGAGGGGGGAAGATGGGGAAGGGGAAAGGAGCGGGGGAAGGCTGCGGAAAAGGGGGGGATGAATGGGGGAAGGTAGCGGGGCGGGGCGGGGCGGGGCGGGGCGAGGCGGGGCGGGGAGGAGCGTGTGTAAGAGGAGGTAAAGGCCACTGTTGAAGTCGCGCTAGTGCCGCGTGCGTGTTTTGTAGCAGCAGTAGTGCAAAGCGAGCAGTGGTATTTCGTTGTGTGTTAGAAACAGCAGCTCTGCTTCCACTCTGCTGAGCTGCCTCAAGGGCAAAGCGAGGGAAGACTTTGGGATTGCTTCTCCCTTGTGCCCTACTTCTCCCTTGCCGCCCTGACCCCCCTGCCCCCCCACGCTCCTCCCCTCGCCTCCCATTTGCTCCTTTCTCCCGCGTCCACCTTGCTGCTCCAGTTCCCTGCCTCCGTTCTCCTCTGCTTCTGCTCTGCTCCTGAACTCCCCTGGCCCTTCAGGTACCGTCTCGTTCTGCGAACCACGCGGGTCTTTGTCTGGCCACACCCTTCAGGAGCGCTCTGGTATCGTCCCTCCTCTCCCTCTCCGTCTCGTGGGCTTCCCTCTCCTTCCCTCCCCTCCCTTGCCTCCCCCCGTCCCCTCTGCACGCTCCGCCCCCTCTTATCACACACGCATGCTTGTTGTGCCGCTGGATTCATCGCTCTTTCTGTAACATAAGGAACTCTTCATCCCAATGTTTAATAACACGAGCGTCCCCTTATCAACACCTATTCCAATGTTGTTCCTAAAACGTTAAGCCCAGCACTTAACGTATTCCAACTCAATCTCCACCCCAACCTTTAATCTTTCCGCATTGCCTGTCTTTGCTGCTGTCTCCCCGTTTTCTTCCGGGTTCCTCTCCCCTGTTCTTCTCCCCTGCACGGCCTCAGGAGGGACGTGCTGCGAGAGAGTGCACGCAAGGAATTTGAAGCTGCCAGATTCGTTTCTGACCCTGAAATGGTAACATCAGATCCGTAATGGTAACGATTGCTGATCCATACTGTGTCCTATAACCATTTCCTTCCTCCCTCCTCGTGCTTCCACCCTTATCCACTTGCATCTCTTTTATTTTTTTTTGCTGTTTTCGTATGGATGACAATACAACATACTATAGAATGTATTACACCTCCCAAGTCATGTGTGTCCGTGAATCCGGTACATCATGACCCCCTCCTCCCCAATTACCCCTCTCTCTCTCTCATCTCAGATTGCACGACTCCTAGTAGGAGGTCGGGACGCCATCTCCGTTGTTGTGGATAAGGTCAGCTGCAACAACTGCCCTTAGGTGACTTTTGAGTCGACTCAAATGTCACCCCATCTCCATCTCCAACAACTGCCCCTTCCTTGTTGTACTATAGGGCGCTTCAACTGTCCATTCCTTGTTATCGCTATAACAAGTTGGGTATTAGTTGCCCCATCCCTTCTGTCTTGCGCGTTTCCTCTTTCCTTCTCACCACCGTCCTTCTCCCTGCGCTTGTTGCTCGTTCTCCATGTTCCTGGTTCACTCCCCATCTTGAAGCGCTTTAAAAGTGCATATACTTGGCTTGCATGCTCTGCTGTGTCTACTTCTGCTCTGTCTACCTATTTTGCCGTTATGCCATTTCTTGGTTTACAGATGCGTCCGCTCCTGCCTCCTGTGTGGGTATTCTTCTGTGCATGTATACATGTGCGCATGCGTGCATGTGTGTATGCGTGTATGTGTGCACGCATATGTGTATGCATGTGTGCATGTGTATGTGTGTATGTGTGCATGTGTGCATGTGTGCATGTGTGCATGTGTGTGTGTGTCATTGCATGGGAAGCAGCTAGTGGCAAAGCAGCAGGAGGCAGTGGAGAAGGAGCGTTCGCGACCTCCTTAACGCAGCACCCACTCAACCCCCATACACACGTACCCACTCACCCCCCACACACACGTCTCACGCGCTCCCACCTTACACACCCATCCCAAGCGCACTCATCCGAGCCAATCATCCACACTTGTGCACATTGTGCCCACACTTCCACAACCAGTCATCTCAGATAACAGTTGATCGTCTCACAGACCCTTCCGTATCACTCTCTGTTTTACAGCCTACGGACGGACGTGGTCACTGGTCAGCCATTTCACAGCCTCTCAGAGAACCGCAAGTCACTGTATAGTGTGGCTACATGTACGGTAGACCCTTCTTTCCATGTACATAGTTCTGTATGGAATTGTGTAGTTGGATTGGACCTCTTTATGGTTCATATATGTCTCTCCACCAAAAGCTGACATTATTTGGCACCAACCACAACCATTCAACTTATTCACAAACTCTCTCCTCTCATGCCTCCAATAGCCAGCCTTAATACTACCGTACATGTGTGTGTAGCCTCTGAGAAAACAATTCACACTAGTGTTGAACCTTTGGTGCACAGAATTACTGGGTGAGGTATCAAGCTAGAATCGAGCCTGAACTGCAAAACAATGGGCTTACGAATGGGTGTGGAAGCTACTTGTAACAAGACCTAGCAAGCGTGCGGCAGTGTACAAAGGACAATGGCCCCGGAGGTAAGGAGGGTCTGAGGGGGATCATAGGTTGTACACGAAAGACTTGTGGTTTGGGATGGGAGGGACTCTGATGTGTGATATGTAGTGGAAACTGGTGGGAGCAAGTTGAACAAGCGACTGCTGATGGGCCATCACCAATGCTCTGTGGCCTGCTGCTGATGCTGCTGACGTGGCACTCGTGGGCGTGTGCACGCAACAGCTGTCACCGGGATTGGCCGGTGATGGCTCTAATGACCTGGCAGGGTCAAGCACAAGAGGACATGCAGGCAAAGGGGCGGTAACAGCATTGACGACCCTTAGTGAGACGGTCTTGAAGTATGTTTAAGCAGCCAGCAGCACGTGGCAGGCACACAGCAGCACGTGGCAGGCACACAGCAGCACGTGGCAGGCACACAGCAGCACGTGGCAGTTGTGCGCAAAGCAGCACGTACCTCCTCCGTCTTGGGTTGTGCCACAGGCTTGGATGGCGACAGGGCATCGCGCATGGGCGGAACGATCACGGGAAGCGCCATGCCTGGTGAGGAGAGAGCGCAAGAAGCAGGGGAGCGGGAGGGGGGAGGAAAGAAGGTGGGCCCATGACATCGGGGGTGGGGGGGTCAGTTAAAAGGGAAAACGGAAATGAACTGTTGGTAGTAGGCACACAGAAACAGGTAGCAGGTCCGTTAGGTTAATGGGAAGCCATGGCGCGTAGCATTGCCTGAAACCACAGTGGCGGAGGGCTGTGTGGAGGGTTGTAAGGAGGAGGACGACAGGGAACGCAGAGCTTCGAGACGTATCAAAGCACGACGGTAGAAACGCCCGCCGAGCCTTGAACGACAAAAGGGAGGACAAGCGGAAATGCAGAAGCGAGAGAGGGGAGACCGGGCAGGAACAGGGATAACGAAGACTGGATGCTTAGGCATCGTTGTAAATCGCCGTATTGAGGCGCCGCCTCGAAGCTAGAGAGCGAACGCTGAAAGAGTGCCATTGATATGAGCGATGATCTAGAACCATGCATCGTTTCAGACGGCCTCAAACTTATCCTGGCAGAACTGAACTGCGGTGGATGATAACAGGTATGATACCAGCGACAAGGGAACAGGACGCACCGATGCCGGCGATAATGCACGACCACATGACGACCGGCTCCTTGAGCATCGCGTGCTTGATCTTCGTCCCGATCGTCGACGACATGACGGCGACTTGTATCGTATCTGATAAAAGCGGATCGGAAGTACTAGTCACCGCGGTGCCGGTCGGGTGGACGAGGCTCAACTAAGAGCGGACGAAGGCCGGCGAAGGCGGCAGCGGAGATGGCGACGAGGCGGTGAAAACGGACGGGTAGGATTGACCGAGGAGAGGGAGAGTGAGTGGAGATTACAGGCAGGATGTTGCAGGGAGGTTTGGGTGAGGGGAGCTGAGGAGGCGGACCATGGTGGCAGGTTCGTCTGTAGTTGCAGATCATCGGGGTGGTTACTTCAAATCTCGAAAACATATTTTGCCGTGGCGACGTATGGAGAACCTGTAACCGAGGCTGTACTGCAGGAAGAGCTGGACCGAACAAGTGTTGAGAAGCGAAATATTGGAAGTGAAGTTACTTGGGGCATTTCACCTTCAACCCAACCGCAGCCCACAAACCTTCATATAGGACAAGTCGAGTCTACGATCTGTGCCTTTGCTCCTTCTTCAAATATACACTGCTAACCCATATGATAGCTAGTAAAACCGTGAATTTCTACAGCAGCTTCTATTTGTCGAAGTCCCTTAGGGGTTGCAGAGCGGTAGCGAGCGATCTTGAACACAAACGCGTGACGGCGTGTTAGCGGGTGCATACTGTTGCACCAGCACTGTAGCGTTAGCGTCAACGCCGGCACCCAGCCCACGGGGCAAATGGACGTAGATGTTAACGACGACGCATAGCTGGAATTAACAGCAAGATGACGAAGGATCGCCCGCGAATCTCGGGGCTTTATATATACCCAATAAAGTCTTGCGGGGGTATTGCTGTGGACTCGGCTGCGGTGACTGCTACAGGTAAGCGACGATATCTCTTAAAGGTTCAATAATACTCAACCCCACTATATTATTCTGCTGTTATATGGCTCCTCCCTTCCCTCTTCAAATCTCTTGTTTGCTCCAACCCCCTCCCTCAACCTCCCTAACTTTACCCCCCATACCCCCTCTTCAAACCATCTTCACTCCCCTCTTTGTTTCCTCGTTTTCTCCTCCCCCTCTCTCCTCTTGCCCGTTCCGCTCAACCCAGCCCACCACCCGCGCCTGAAAGGCAGCAGGAGCCTCATAATACACCTGAACCTCCCCCTTACCCCCCTATGTACCAATCCCTTGACCCCCCTTCACCACCCCTACCTGCAGGCCTGCAGTGGGACCGGCAATGGATGGTGGTGGGTGCTCCCCCCTCTTTCCCCCCTTCCCCCTCATCCGCATCTGCGTCCGCATCAGCTCCCCCTCTGCGCTTCATCACGCAGCGCCAGTGCGCGCGCATGGCGCTCATCCGCACCTCCCTTCCGCCTGAGGCGCTGCTCCCCCCGCACACGTGGGCGCACACGCTGCCCCCTGACGCGTGCCTCTGTGCGTGAGGGGTGGGGAAAGGGGGATAGGGAGGGTCGGGGTGTTGCAGAGGGTGTGTGTGAGTAAGTGGGGACAAAAGGCCGCCCTCTTTCTGCTGATGGCTTTTTAGAATTCTCAAACAACGTCTGCAAGAAAAGGTGTCTTCCCCCTTCCCCTTTCCCCCTTTCCCCTTCCCCCCCCATCCCCCATCCCCTTTCCCTGGTTCCCCTTCCCCCATCCCCCTTCCCCATCCCCCTTCCCCCCCCCTTCCCCCCCCTTCCATCCCCCTTCCCCCTTCCCCCTTCCCCATCCCCCTTCCCCCTTCCCCCATCCCCCTTCCCCCTTCCCCCTCCATCCCCCATCCCCCTTCCCCCTTCCCCCATCCCCCTTCCCCCTTCCCCCATCCCCCTTCCCCCCCCCCCCCCCTTCCCCCCCCCTTCCCCCATCCCCCTTCCCCCATCTCCCTTCCCCCACCCCCCCCCTTCCCCCACCCCCCTTCCCCCATCCCCCTTCCCCCTGGCAGCCATAACGGCCCCTGGTCACCCCCCCCTGCACGTCCCCCTCGCCCTCTCCTGGTATCACCGCCAGGCGAGGACGGGGGAGGGCACACGAGAACAGGGGGTAGGCAGCGCGGGAGGAGCAAGGGGAGAAGCAGGGGAGGTGGGGAGTGGGGGGAGTGGGGGGAGTGGGGGGAGGTGGGTGGCGGTGACGGTGTGGGGGTGGACGGGCAGGGCGTTGGACGCAGGGGAGGATGCAGCGCAGTGGTTCTCCTCGGTCATGGGGAGACCTGTGCGCCTCGTTCGCTTCGACACTGGTGCGTGGGTGGGAGGGTGGGTGGGTGGCGGGGTGGGGTGCTGTTTCTGAGTCACCTAAAAAACAGGATGCAGCGCACTGGTGGGTGGGTGCGTGGGTGGGTGGGGAGGGTAGTGGCTGGGTGGGAGGGTGGAGGGTGGGTGGAGGGTGGGTGGGTGGACCATGCACACGTGCTTTTGCACCGGGGGGATGGGGCTTCAGCGCTGGTGTGGGATCGGTACTGGCAGGTCTCGCATAGTTAGGTTTGATGTAGTTCAGTTGGGAGACAACCTGGGAGAGAAGGGAAAATGGAAACAGCTGTCTTTTGTGTGAGCCATTGCTTGTCACTGGATCTCTGGTGGCAACACTCAACTTCTCTCCCAACTCTCTTGTGCGGTTTTGGGTTTCAAACCTCTGCGCTTTTCCCCTCCTCTGCCGTCCTTCCATTTCTCTACTGCTATTCATTCCATGCCCCCATCTTTCTTCCCGTCGCCCCCACACAGCACATCAGCACACGTGGTGCGGCCTACCAGCTCTTCCTTTGCACGAGCATGAGGTCCCAAGTATCCGCACTAAACTATCTCCCCACCTCTCCCCACCTCTCCCCACCTCTCCCCACCTCTCCCCACCTCTCCCCACCTCTCCCCACCTCTCCCCACCTCTCCCCACCTCTCCCCGCCCCTCCCCTCTCCTCGCCCCCACGCAACACGCCAGCGCATGTGGTGCGGCCTACCAGCGCTGACTTTGCAGACGGCTTCCAGACGTCCTTTGCTGATGGCTACCCCATGCTGCTCATCTCCCAGGTGCTCTCACACCTCACCTCACCTCACCCCACCGCACCTCACCTCGCCTCAACCTCACCTTACCGCACCTCACCTCACCTCACCTCACCTCACCTCACCTCACCTCACCTCACCTCACCTCACCTTATCATTCCTGTGCTGCTGGCTACCACAACAAGCCTATTCTGAACGAATTTTCTGTCAACCTAGCATGTGTTGAGTCGGCTCAACGTGAATAGGTGTAGACCCCATTCTTCTGTCCGGCATCCAGACACGACCTGGTTGCAGGAGGGGAGAAGTGGGTGCTCCCTCCTCGGACTCTCTCCCATCACGCTCTCCCCTTGCCCTCCCCTGCCTCCCATATCCCTTCCCACATTCTCCTTGTCCTTGCCCTTATCGAATTCCTGTTACCAACCCCTGCACCCTGCCAAACCCCTTTCCAAACCCCAACCCCCCTTCGGTTCCCCCCTTCCGATCCCCCCTTCCGATCCCCCCTTCCGATCCCCCCTTCCAAACCTCCCTTCATGTGTACCTCAGCCGTCGCTCTCATCGCTCAACGCCCGCCTCCCCAACCCGATTCCCATGAACCGATTCCGACCCAAGTACGGCTGTCCCGCCTTGCCGCGTTCTCATTCCTGTTGAGGCACCTCACTCTATAGACTCCTCACCTCACATGCGGAATGGAACAACATAGCATGGAAGCAATCCTTCCTTGGTATTGTTCTTGTTTCAGTGGATTGATTTCGACCCAAGCACGACATGACATGCCTGCCTTGCCTCTTGTCTGCCATGTGCTGCTAATCTCTGCCAGTTTGTTTGCGATTCCACTCGATTCTCTCTCTTCCTGTGCTCTGTGTCATCTCACCACCATCATGCCCCCATCCCACCTCATCCTGCCCCCATCCCACCTCATCCTGCCCCCATCCCACCTCATCCTGCCCCCATCCCACCTCATCCTGCCCCCATCCCACCTCATCCTGCCCCCATCCCACCTCATCCTGCCCCCATCCCACCTCATCCTGCCCCCATCCCACCATGATGGCATGGCAGCATAGTGGTGGAGGGGTGTGAGCCCTTTGACGAGGACACATGGCGCAGCTTCTCCCTGGCACGCAGCAGCAACACAGCAGCAGGGGAGGCAGCGGAGGAGGAGGGGGGGGAGGGGCGTGGGTGTAGGTCTGGTTCTAGGTGTGAAATCTCTGGTGCTGCCTCAGCTGGTGTGTTTCGTGGAGTGAAGCCCTGCTCAAGGTGCAAGGTGGGTACATACTTGCAATGTTCGTGGGGAGTGGTGGAGTGTGGTGGGGATTGGTGCAATGTTTGTGGGGAGTGGAGTGTTTGTGAAGAGTGGGTGAGTGAGTGGGCAACGTCAGGTGTCAGGTGTGATTCTAATCTTCTGAGTTACATGAAAAGGCATTCTCCATTCTGAGTCAACTTGGGATGCCTCTTCAGTTAACCTTTCTGTCCACGCACATCTCATGCAAATGCCTCCAACCGTTGCCTTTATTCCCGTCTCGTTCCCCTTCCCGTCTCTCTCTCCCCTACCTTCCTTCCCCCATTCTTTATGCTACTCCTCTCACACATTGCACCACCGCTCTTTCACCTTTCCGCATTGCCACATCCCATCTCTTTCCCATCTCTCCCCTCAAGAAAAGCCCCCTCCATTTTGCAACTCGTTCTGATTGACTTCCTCCTTGCACGCTCGCTCTCACTGCACTGCCACTGTGCTTTTGAGTCGACTCAAAAGCTGAATGCATCCCTCCTTGCACGCTCTCACCTCACTGCCACTGTGTCAGATCACCACAATCGACCAGCTCACAGCTGAATCCAGCAAGGAGCCCCTTCAGGTACCATTTTGTATCGCATTTCGTCCGTCTCGTTCCGCTGCTTTGGTATTTGATGCTTGCTAATATTGCAGCAGTGGAGTTGTAGTGAGTGAGGGTGCCATAGGGCTCCAGTTAATACTTGGCATGTCTTTCTGGATTGCTTTGCTTCAGTAGGAGGGCATCGTTGCCCTTGCAAGCCACCTCTTCTTTTCTTGGCAGAATTCTCTCTCGGCTCAGCACCCTCTTGTGTGATTCTTTTCTTGAACATCCCCTCTTGTGCTTTGCGCTCTTTTAATCTCCCTTGTCCCTCCCTTCCCCTGTCAGACACTCCTCAAGTTTCGACGAGGAAAAGACCTGGGCCTTCCAACAAGCTTGCAAGACGTTTTTTTCGGCATGAATGTTGTGTTCCAGCCTTCATACACCACACACCCTGTTCCGGAGCAACTCTCCCTCACGGAGCTATCAATTGGTGTTGAAATTGATGTACTGTCTAAGGACCCTCAGCTTGCAACATTGTATAGCGCCTGAGGCTCTGTGCAAGTGATTTCTTGTGAATGTGGGTCTGGTCTGGTCAGCATGACAGGTGGGGAGGTTGTATGTGTGTAAATAGGATATAGGTATTAATAAGTACGATCACACCACTGATCAAAGGCCTCAAATGATGCTCAGCCCAGTGCATTATAAAGAGAAGTGACTGTTCACAATGGTCTACGACATCTCGTGCATCAGCTGCGACTGTCGCCATTCTCCAATGACTACTTCTCGCTGATGGTATGGTTCGTTCGCTGCGCGTCACACCAGCTGTCAAAGTTACCACCTCGAGATCGTTGTCCTCGATATAATAATCTCTGCGCTTTGATCTGGATGGACTCGTAACTTCGCGAGACCAATACTATCGGAGCTTGATCCAGCACCATCCAGGACCCAGTACAGTACTGCACTGTAGTCGCAGGACCCTCCCCCGCCCAACCTAGAAAGTTTCCTTCTGATGATGATTTGACGCCTTGGGCATGGCCTTTCTGTTTCTCGGGAATGCCATTTTATTCCCTCGCTTTTGGAGGCCATCGAATCATGTGTTGCCTCGCCACCACATCAGCCAGGTCGCGTAGATTAGAAAGTTTCTGAGTTCACCATTGGCATCTGCGCGCGGTAGTCTTTCTGATCGTGCCATCTCGGGGATGGGAATTGTCTTCCTAGCTCTCCACGACGGATGTGCTCCGCGCTGTCTCTCTGCCACGTGGACTCCCACATCCCAAAAGCGAAAATCCTAGGTCCTGCAATGTCTCAGCTCTTACTCCTCCATCGTCTTGATTCTCCTCTGGTTCCGACTTGCGATCCGCTTGCGGCTCACATCAACGTCTCCATGACCCGATTGCTCCAGTTGTAAAAGACCGTCTCGGAACAATAACGCTACCATTTCAAACAGATTATCTGTCCGCTCTCTCGTCGCGAACCGCGTCTCCTAAGGCTCCTTCAGAAGTTAGCGAAACGGCCATGGCGTCGAAAGCGGTGGCTTCAACGCTGTCGCGCGAGTCAGCAGGTGCGTAGTGCGACGCCGTCGTTCGACTGTCGCTCAAGGATCGCTCAACGGTCGCTTGACAATTGCTCAAATCACCCCGTCTTCTTTCCACGCCTGGGAGAACACGCGTGCAGCACCCAAAAAGCAAGCTTCCAGTTGGTCCCTCGTAACTCTTTTTAGCCTTCTGAGAGTCTTTGCCTGCTAATTTCCGTACGTTTCCTTCGACCATTTTTCCCTTCTACCATTCTACCCCTTGGTCCCTGTCAACCCTCCCGCCGTTCTCCGCTATCTCATTTTATTCTTCTTCCTCTCTCCCGCGCTACTGCTGCTGCCTTCCTTCCGCCGCTCTTCCCCCCGCTCAGACTCTTTCTGGGACGACGATGACGACGTGCCAACACATCGCACGGGCTCCTACGACGTCGAATCCGCGCATCTCGCGAGATCCGCCGGACCAGACGGACGGTCAGGATTAGCCGACAGCCGCGATGGCGAGCTCGACTCCCTCATGCCGACAGCGGGCTCCCGCTCCGCGCACCTCAGCGCAGCACGCGCGGAAAACGGCCTGCGCACGGACGACTACCTGCACGGCGCGGGCGCGCGCTTGGGGCGCGGCGGAAGAGAAGCGGACAAGCGGCTGCACGAGCGCGAAATGGAGCGCGCGTACCGCGGATGGCCGTCGTGCTGGCAGATCTGGGGGGAGATCCTCGACCAGATGGAGCTCGGCGCGCCTCTCTCCGCCGCGAATCTTCTCAGCTTCGCGCGGTTCCTCTTCTCCCTCGCGTTCCTAGGCCGCCGCAGCACTCTTCAGCTCGCAGCCGCCGCCGTTGCAATCACCTTCACTAACGTCACAGGCTTCTCGCTGCTCATCGGCCTGGCTTCCGGAATCGAGCCTCTGTGCGCGCAGGCGCACGGCGCGCAGCAGCCGAGAGCCATGGGGCTGCTGCTGCGCCGCTCGTCGCTGCTCCTTACGCTCGCGTCCATCCCCATCGCGATCATATGGTCGAATTCCCAACGGCTGCTCCTCGCAGCGGGACAAGACGCGCCGTTAGTTTCAGAAGCCACGACCTTTATTCTCTGGCTCCTCCCCGACCTGTTCCTGTCCGCGCTAGTGAATCCCCTGCGGATCTTCCTTCGCGCGCAGGGTATAGTTCGCCCTGTGCTGGTCGGAGCCGCGCTGTCGCTCGCAGTGCACGTGCTGGCGACGGCGCTGCTGGTCGCAGGGCCTGTGAGGCTTGGCTGTGCTGGCGCCGCTGCTGCCGCGTCGATCTCTGATCTGTTCCTCTGGCTGCTGATGCTGTTCTATCTGCATTGCTTCACTGATGTACCCCGGAGGTGCGGCCTCCTCGTCCCCCTCTCCTTCTCCGCTTCGCCTCTCACCCCAGCAGCAGCCGCAGCAGCAGAATCAGGGGTCGGTTCCCCTCGGTCCCCCCATTCCCCCCGTCCCCCTCCCTCCCCCACCTCCCCCGCCTCTCCTCTCTCCCCCACGCGCCATCTCTCCGCGCGCCCCTCCTCCCTGGCGCAATGGGGCCCGCTTATCCGCATGTCCCTCCCCGCCTGCGCCACCATCTGCCTCGAGTGGTGGTGCTACGAGCTCTGCATGCTCCTCTCAGGACTCCTCCCAGACGCCACGACATCTGTTGCAGCCCTTGCCATCCTCTTCAACCTAGATTCGATTCTCTACTCTCTCACTGCCGGCCTGGCTGCCGCAGCAGGTACCAGAGCAGGGAACCTCCTAGGCTCGGCATTCCCGATCCTGGCGCGGAACGCGGCACTAGTTGCCCTGGGCTGTTCTTTAATGCTGGGTATCACACAGCTAGCTGTGCTCTGGGCGGCTAGAGAAGCCTTAGGCCACGTGTTCACCTCTGATGCGGCTGTGCTTGAAGCTGTCACTGCGCTGCTGCCGATTCTAGGGCTTCTTGAGGTTTTCAATTCGGTGCAGACGGTCATGACAGGGTTGCTAAGGGGTTGCGGGCGGCCGGACGTGGGGATGTATGTCAACCTGGGAGCGTTTTACGTGCTTGGTTTGCCGCTGGGTCTTGGGCTGTGCTTTCTCGCGGATCTAGGGTTGCTGGGGCTGGTTTTGGGGCTGCTTGGAGCGGTTGTTACTTGTAGCTTCTTCACCGTTTCTGCTGTACTATCTACGGATTGGGGTGCTGAGGCTTCAAAAGCGACGGCCAGGATTGTCCCCCTGCCTGCTGCTGCTATTGCTGCTGTGTTGTCACCACGAGGAAGGGGGTTGGGGAAGGTGGAGGACGGGAGGGGACGGCATTGGCGAGGGAAGGTGGAGGGGAGGTATGGGGTGGGCGAGGAGGAAGAGGAGGAGAGGCACGGGGTTGATGAGAGGGAACAGGAAATGGCAGCACTCACAGGCTTGCGTACAAAATCTGATGACCAAGGGCTCTGAGAGGCATCGAGATGCAAGCCATGCATCGTATCTTCCCTTGCTGTGAGTGGTACACTTTATGTCCAGGGGCCCAGGTGTGTGAGGTGTGTAGAATGGTTATGAGGGGTGTATTGTGATGGTGGTGGAAGCATGGTTGGTCAGCTTGGGTTGCCGTGCTTGTTTGTTTAGGTCCCTTTTGTTTTCTTTAGGTGACTGCAGTATGAGTTCTCTTCTCTGCCACTTCCTTCTCCTTGTCGGATGTATTCCCTCGGTCATATCCATTTCTAGCTTATTGTGTTCCCTCCCTTATCTTGCATCCCCTCCCTCCTCCCTCTTGCAATCATTCTTACCACATTTATCCTCCACACACGCATACACACACACACACCTTCCCCTCCCTCCCCGCGCCCCCCCTCCCCTCCCTCCCCCCCCCTCCTCCCCTCCAGCGCTCACATTACACTCAGTCATCTACTTAGCCATGACACCTTCCAGCCCTTTCTCTCATTCCCCAGTTTGATCCCCATCCTGCCTCCTTCCCATTACAGGATATAAACCAGCCAGTTCATTGCAAATCGTATTGTGTGTGCTATGCCAGGGAACGTGGTGTAGCTTGCAGTTTTGGAGCTGGATGGAAACCACCTGGTTCATGCTCTCAAATAAAACTCGATATTGGCTTCTCCGCTCCACTGACCAGACCAACCAATTCTGTTTGGTTAAGTGGTGGTGATGTTTGTCTGCACTATTCGTGATGCTACACTTGTACTGTCTTATATTCAATAATATTCTAATGGCCTCAATATTGAGTATGAATGACCATGTCACATCTGATCTATCAAACCCTAAGTTGCACTCACATAATAACCTGTCTTTCTGACATAATGAAAACCCCCCTTAACACGTAGGTATTGTTTCAAGCCGGTTGTTTTCAGGTGCGGCTGGTGCAATCAATTCCAATTATCACACTGCGGCAGTGCCCTAAGGGCGTGTCCAGCTCGTACGTTTTCGGTTCATATACAGTTCATCTACCGTGGTGCAAAACAATATCAGAAGGTGCAAAGCGATTTTGGATTTTCACCGTTGTTCACCGTGACGCAAAGCGGTCAACCGTACAAATTGAACTGAAAACGTACGAGCTGGACACGCCCTAAAACACAGCCACCCGATTGTATCCATGCCTAAGTGCGCCTCTAATATCCTTGCATCAAGCTACAGTTGGTGTACCGGCTGATCTATCAAAGACAAACTGTGTTACACACACACCTCGCCATTTGCCATCACACATGGCTTTCACCGCACCTACTCCTGCCTCTGCCAACTACTAAATTCCTTACCCTTGTTGGGAGGAGGGAGGACGAATAGACGCAAAGAAGAGGGATGGAGGAGGGAGGGAGATGAGGAGCAAGAGTGGGAGGGGCGGAGGGACGAGGGCAAGAGAGACAATAGGGGGAGAAAGAGGGGGAGAGTGAGAAGAGGGGTGGCAGAAGGGAAGCAGACGAGGGCCATCTTCCTTTTGAGTCGACTCGAAAGCCATATTCCTTAGTCACCCCTCCCCTCCCCGCCATCCACACTCACTCCCTATCGCTACCATACCTATCCCTCTCCTCATATCTCCCTCTCCCACCCCCCTCTCTTCGCCCAACCGGACTCAAAGAAGCTCTCCTCCCCCCCACGCCCCTCCGCACATACCCCCCATCCTCCTCCCCTCCTCCTCCTCTGCCCTGTCTTTGCCCATCTGTCCCATACGTCCTATCCGCCCCCCCATCTACCCCATCTATCCTGTCTCCATATGCCATGGGCCTGCGGGTCCCCACAGGAGACACGCTCCCTCTCCTCCTCGCTCCCCCTCCTCCCCTGTACCGATCCTCCTCGTCGTCGTCCCATCTGCCCCTCTCTCCCCCTCTTCCTGCTCTCTCTCGCTCGCCTTCCCTTCCTCTGTACCCTCCTCCCCGTGAGTAATCATCCCCATAGTTATCGTAACGATCAGTGTTACCACCGTAACCACCACCACCAGAACCAGAACCAGCTGATTCTATTGACCCTCCTGTGTAAGAGCGGTTATAGCCCCCTTCCCCAGTATCCCTTTCCCCATACTCCCCTCCTCCCCCCGCCCTCTGCCCCCTCTCTATCTGCTCCCCTGTAAAACTCCTCAACAGGTACGAATCCGCCCCGCCCCGCCGCTCCCTCTCACCGCATCCCACTCCTCCGTAACCCCCCCTCACCCCTCCATACCCACAATACCCGCCCCCCCCGCCGATCGCAGCCTCTGCCTCTTCCCTCAACTGTCTCCTCCTCTCACTCCGTTCAATAGACTCCATGCTCGCCCGTCGCACCAAGGGAGGCACAGGCATTGCACCGCCACCACCGCTACGGTACCCCGATAGGGACTGCTGCAAAAGCTCTGCTCGCATTTGCTCTCGCTGCAACAGGTACGAGCTACCAGCAGTGCCGCCTCCTGCTCCCACTCCCCCTCCTCCTCCCCCTCCCATGCCGCCGTATTCCCCACGAGTGTTGCTGCTGCGACCACCACCAGCACCAGCACCAGCACCAGCAGCAGAGCCTTCATTGGCCCATTTGGGTCTTGCCCATGCGCCTCCCCGTGCCTGCTGCTTCGATGCCTCCTGTGGGAATGAATGTGTGGGGGAAAGGGAGAGAGGATACGGGAACAAGAGGAAGCAAGGAGGAAAGGTTGAGCACAGGACGGGAAGGGGGAGAGAGTGAGGGAAAAGGATGTCTGGGGATGCAAGAGGGGCCACGCATTTTCAGAATTCTCAAACATCTCTGAGTACAGAAACGGCTCGCAGGAGGGATTGGAGCAGAGACGGTTTGAAGCAGTGTGGGTTTGAGGCAGCAAGACAGGAACCGTAAGAGGAAGATGAAGTGACACAGGTTAGCGCATGCTGTGCTGTGCTTGAACCTCACAACGCGCATACTGTGCTTGCGACATACAATAAATGTTTTTTTTCTGATTCAACAACTAAAAATAAAAATTTAAAACACAAAAAAAAAGTAACAAGAACTTATAAATAGAATATTTCAAAAGGAGTAAAAAGTCCTGATATTCATGCTGTGCTTGCCTGATATTGGGTTGGCCTATCTGATCGCCTTTGCTGCTGCACTATCATCACGTCAGTGCTTCTTTGCATTCTCTCGTGCTCCAAACAGTGTTCACAAAACATGCTCGAGGTTACATAATCGCCTTATTGTGTGGAGCTTGTGTGCTTGTATACACGTGCACGTGTATGTGTGAGGTGTACAATTACTGTGTTGTGCGAGAAAGCGTGGGTTGCGAGTTTGTGAGCACGCGCGTGCGCGTGTATATGTGCGTCCATGCGTGCATGCGTGTGCGCGTGCGTGTGTGTGCACGTGCATCTGTACATGCGTTCACATGTGTCTGAGAGCACATGACAACTTAAAGCCCATTGCTTTGCACTGACAGGAACTCATCATGCACTGCCTCTCTGTCTGCCCTGTCAGCGCCAGTTGCAGCTCAATCTCCCTCGCCTCAAACACTCAACCAACAACTCACAGTTCCATTCCATGCATCGCAGCACACACAGCACCAACTCACCATGCGCTGCCTCTCCGTCTGCCCCGTCAGCGCCCGTTGCCACTCCACATCTCCTCTGCCTCAAATGCTCTAACAACCAACTACTCCCATTGCATGCGTCACAGATCACACAGCACCAACTCACCATGCTGACTCTTGAGTCGACTCGAAAGTCTCAAACGCTCTAACAACCAACAACTCACAGTCCCATTCCATGCATCACAGATCACACAGCACCAACTCACCATGCGCTGCCTCTCCGTCTGCCCTGTCAGCGCCCGTTGCAGCTCCATCTCCTCCGCCTCAGATGCTCTAACAGCCAACTAGTCCCATTCCATGCATCACAGGTCACACAGCACACAACGAACTCACCATGCGTTGCCTCTCTGTCTGCCCCGTCAGCGCCCGTTGCAGCTCCATCTCCTCCGTCTCAAACGCCTCCGCTCTCCTCCTCTCCCTCCCCCCTCCGCCTCCGCCCACAACTCCCCCCCCCACTCCGCCCGCCCCTCCCCCCATCTCATCCAGGTCTTTCATATCAAACCGCCTCCTATAGTCAACCTCAGTGTTGGACCGATGGTAATCCATTTCCTCCTCTCTTCCCCCTCCTCCCCCTCTATACGGCGACCTGTCCCCTCTATAAGGCGACCTGTCCCCTCTATAAGGTGACCCGCCCCCTCTATACGGCGACTCCCCTCCCCTTCGCGGGGACCTCCCTCCCCCACGCGGTGACGTCACTCCCCCGTCCCTTCCCCCTCCCCCTCCCCCGCCCCCTCCCCCTCGGTATGGGGACCCTCCCCCTCTGTAAGGTGATCCCCCCCTTGCTTCCCCTCGTGCTCGCGGTGACCTCATCTCATCCTCCCCTTTCCCCCCTCCCCCCCACCCCGCGGACTCATCCCCCCCTCTTCCCCGCGGGGAAACCGCCCACGTTCCTCCGCCCATTCCCCCCGCGCCTCCCCCGCGAAACCCCCCGCTGCTCCGCGGCCTGCCATCCCCCCCACTGACGGGGCGGCCGTGGGGGGACCTGGGGGGGAGAGTAGGCGCTCCCCCTCCTCCCCCCCCAGCCATTCCGCGCCCCTTCACAAGCTTTCCTCTCCCCCACTCCCCCTCCTCGCCCTCCGTTCCGCTCCCTTCATCACCCCTCTCCCGTCCGCCCTCATCCCCACTCTTCAACTCTACAAATTCGTCCTCGTGAAATTCCTCCTCCTCTCTTCGCCCCTCACTCTCCCACCTTCTATCACCACCAGCAGCACCAGCAGCAGCACCACCACCACCACCACCAGCACCGCCACCCTTTCTTGGGCTACCAGCACCAGCAGCACCGCCCCCGCCCTTCCTTGGGCTCCTAACTTCCTCCTTCCCCCTCTCCTGCTGCTCCTGCTCCCTCTCTGCGCTCCTCACTCCCGCCATAAACGCTTTCCTAAACCCCTTCTCGCCGTTGCTCCTCTCTCCGCCCACTCCTCCCCCTCCCGCCCCTTCCGCTCCTCCCTTCCCTCCCTCCCCTCTACCTCCCTCCACCGCCCCCTCTTGCCCTCCTCTGGCTCCCTCATCTGCCCCACTGGTGGGCCGGCTACGGGGGGACCGAATCTCCTCCTTCTCAACCCCTCTTTTACCACTCAAATCATCCGCATTACCAACCTCTTTCCCCTCCTTCCCCTCCCTCCCCTCTATCCCCTGCTTCCCGCTCTGAGACTGGTCCATCTTCTTTCCAAACCCGCCTTCGCCTGAAGCAGCAGCGGCCGCAGCAACAATGGCAGCAGCAGCAGCGCCAGCAGTGGCAGACCGAGGCACTGCGCTCCGCGCATTCACCCCAGGAGTTACTGCGCTCGTCCCACTCATTGACTTGCTAATAACACCAGACGCTTTCAGGCCGTGAGAAAAGCTGAAGCTGTTGCCAGTTTGGGTTTGAGAAATACTAGCGTTGTTAGCCTCTTCCTCTTGCTTTCCCCCCTGCCCTTCCCCCTGCCCTTCCCCCTGCCCTTCACTCTGCCCGCTTCCCTTAGCCTCCGCTGCGGATCCAGGCCCGTTTTCCCCTCTCGCAACTCCATTGTTCCCCCCCTCTGCCCCTCCCCCCACGCCCCCCGCTGCCCCCCCGCCTGCTGCGCCTCCTGCGGCTTTCCCCGCGCCGCGCCCCGCCGCCTTAGCCGCGGCGGCAGCAGCCGCGCGCCTGGCAGCCGCTGAGACCGGGGGGGCGGCGGGCGGGATTCCCGGCGCACCCGCCACTCCGTCTCCTGCACCGGCGGCGTCCGCCGCTCCTGCAGCAGCGGCGCCGGCAGCGCCGGCTCCGCCACTTGCGCCCGCCACTTGCTTCCCCGCCGGCTTTCCCCCCCGCCCGCCCGCAACCTTCCCCCCGGTTCCCCCGGTACCAGGGCGCAGCTTAGACGCTGCGCCTGCCGCCGGCGCGCCTGGCGCGCCCGCCACCCCCGCTGCTGGCCCCGCTGCTGCCCCCGCTGCGCCCGCCGCTCCTGCTGCGGGCGCGTTAGCTTGCGCCGACGGCGCAGTCGACGGGCGGCTGATCTCCATCGGCGGAGCGGCTTCCGTGCTCCTGGAGCGCGCAAGCAGAAACGGCGAGCGCGACCGCGCAGCCTCGTCCGCGCCCGCCTCCCCGTCGGCCATCCCGCTGCCCTTCCGCGTGAGCAGCCTGCCGCCTTTCTTCCCCGCCTTGCCCTTGCCGTCCTTTGCGGCGGAATCGTCCGTGACCACACGATCGACCATCGCGAAGAAAGCTGGACGGTTCAGATGCTTCCGCGACCTCAGCTTCTCCAGCATACCAACGGTCTCAACCGTTGACAACGTCTCCCATACCGAATCATTCACCTCCCCCCCTGCGCCTCCCCCTGCTGCTACGCCTCCCCCCGGCGCGCCCCTCCCCGCCGCTCCCCCTCTTCCCCTCCCCCTCCCTGCGCCTGCTCCCCCGGCTCCCCCTTCCCCGCGCGCCTTTTCCGCCTCCGCGACCTTTTCCTCCCAATCAGGGTCACTGACGAAAATACTCGCCACGCCGCCGCCATCGCTGACGTATTTCGCCGTGTAAGGCGCCCAGAACGCTTCTATGGTCTTCATCTTAGGCGGCCGCGAGCGCGGGAGCCACGGCTCGGGCTTCGGAAGCGCGTGAAACATGGCCTGCCATGCCACGTGGCACGTGCGAATGCACGCCTGCACCTGATCGCGCCCCTTCGCGCGCTCGTTGAACCCGAACGCCTTCCCCGCGTCGCCTTTCTCCGTGCAGTCGCACAGCCGCAGCCACTCCCTAATCTCCTCCAGCACGCCGGGTAACTTCCTGCTGACGTCAGCCACGTCGTTCAGCTCTTTCGCCAACGGGTCGTCCGTCGCGACTGCGACGATCTTCCACGCGATATTCGCTCCCTGGCTGATCGCCGCGAACGCCGCTAGCGGCTTCACCGAATACACCTCCCCCGTCCGCGCCGTGCGCGACCCGAGCTCGATCACCTGCAGCGGCCGCCCGTCGAAGCGCATCCCGCCGAGATCCTCGTTCGGCGCCGCGGGATCCGCCCACGTCTGCGTGAAGATCCCCAGGTTCCACTGGCAGTTCTCCGCGTAATGCGCGGGCCGGCCGTTGCGTTTTAAAAGCCGAACCGGATTGAAATTCTCGTCGTCCGCGACTTCGAAGTTGGCCCAGATACCGCGCGGCGTGACGCACAGAAACGACAAGCCCTGCTCGAACGTGCAGTTCTCCTGCACGCCCGGCGGCGGGGGAATCGCGTTCGGCGCCTTAGGATCTGCCGCGGGATACGCGGAGAGGAAGAGCGGGATTTCGTGCCAGGGGGAGAAGGCGCGGTATTGACTGTCGAGGAAGAGGAGGCGGTAGAGGAGCGTTCCCGGAGCGCCGAACTCGAGCGTGGTCCACCATGGTATGATGGCACCGCTGCTCGTTGTCGTCATGGCACCTTGCGTGTGTGGAAGAGTGAGAGTGAGAGTGAGAGTGAGAGTGGGTGGTGCTGGTGGAGTGGGTGTCGCGTATGCGTGAGACTGCGCGTGGGTGTATGTGTGCCTCCCTGCCTGC